GATGCCCTGGCTGGTTGGGCTCAGTGGATAGAGGGCTCAGTGGATAGAGCACCGGCATGCAGACTGAAGGGTCCGGGTTTGATTCTGATCAGGGGCATGTGCCTGGCTTGTGGGCTCGATCCCCAATGGGGGGCATGCAGGACGCAGCCGATCAGTGATTTTCATCATTGATGTTTCTATCTCTATCCCCCTTCCCTCTCCCTTCATCTCTGAAAAAAAATATTTTTTTTTAAAAAAAAGGCAGAGGACCTGGATAGATACTTCTCCAAAAAGGACATACAGATGAACCACAGACATATGAAAAGATACTCAATGTCACTAACTGTCAGAGAAATGCAAATTGAAACCATCCTATATAATAAAAGAGAAACATGCAAATTAACCGTCCTTCCGCTATGCTCAAGCCACGCCCACCAGTCAATCAGGAGCAAGTATGCAATTTAACTCAACTAAGATGGCTGCAGCCACGGAGCTGGAGCGAGCAGGAGGCTTGGGTTGGCCCAGGCGATGGAGGAAGCCAAGCTTCCCGCCTGCCCTGGCTGGCCCTCGGCTCCACTCAAGGCTACAAAGTTTCAATTATAGAAGACAAATAAATCCCAGAAATAAAGGAAAAAAGAAAAAAGGAGAGGCTGGGAGCTTGGGTCGCCGGGGGCATGGCCAGCCTCAAAACGGCCATCAGCCCCTCCCCCAGGCTGGCCAGGCACCCCAGAGGGACTCCTTCACCTTGAAGGGGCTGTGGGCAGCTTGAAAACAGCCATCAGCCCCTCACTCAGGCTGGCCAGGCACCCCAGTGGGGACCCCGACCCTGAAGGGCAGGGGTCCTCAATCTTTTTAAACAGGGGGCCAGTTCACTGTCCCTCAGACTGTTGGAGGGCCGGACTATAGTTTAAAAAAATACTAGTCGGCTGCTAAGCAACAGGCAGTGGCAGCAAAAACACCTGGTGGACCGGATAAATGTTTTCGGTGGGCCGCATGTGGCCCACGGGCCGTAGTTTGAGGACCCTTGCTGAAGGGGGTGTGGCCAGCCTGAAAACAGCTCTCAGCCCCTCACCCAGGCTGGCCAGGAACCCCAGTAGGGAACCCCACCCTGAAGGGGGTGTGGCCAGCCTGAACACAGCCCTCAGCCCCTCACCCAGGCTGGCCACACCCGCATGGGGTGAGGGTCCCCACTGGGGGTCTTGGCCAGCCTGCAAACATCCATCAGCCCCTCACCCAGGCTGGCCAGGCACCCCAGAGGGACCCCCCACCCTGAAGGGGGTGTGGCCAGCCTGAACACAGCCCTCAGCCCCTCACCCAGGCTGGCCACACCCGCATGGGGTGAGGGTCCCCACTGGGGGTCTTGGCCAGCCTGCAAACATCCATCAGCCCCTCACCCAGGCTGGCCAGGCACCCCAGAGGGACCCCCCACCCTGAAGGGGCTGTGGCCAACCTGCAAACAGCCATCAGCCCCTCACCCAGGCTGGCCAGGCACCCAAGCGGGACCCCAACCCTGATCCGGGACACCCTTCAGGGCAAACCAGCCGGCCCTCACCCATGCACCAGGCCTCTAAACTATATAATAAAAGGGTAATATGCAAATTGACCCTAACAGCTGAACGACTGGGAATGACTGGTCACTATGACACACACTGACCACCAGGGGGCAGACACTCAATGTAGGAGCTGCCCTCTGGTGGTCAGTGCGCTCCCACAGGTGGAGCTCTGCTCAGCCACAAGCCAGGCTGACGGCTGCCAGTACAGTGGTGATGGTGGGAGCCTCTCCCACCTCCTCAGCAGCACTAAGGATGTCCGACTGCAGCTTAGGCCTGCTTTCCGCTGGCAAGTGGACATCCCTCAAGGGCTCCCAAGCTGCCAGAGGAATGTCTGACTGCCAGCTTAGGCCCGATCCCCTGGTGAGTGGGCCTAAGCCAGCAGGTGGACATCCCCCAAGGGGTCCCGGACTGCGAGAGGGCACAGGCCAGGCTGAGGGACCCCCCCGGAGTGCACACATTTTTGTGCACCAGGCCTTTAGTAATGATATATCACCTCACACTTGTAAGAATGGCTATCAATAAATCCACCAACAGCAAGTGTTAGCAAGGATGTGGAGAAAAGGGAACCCTCATGCACTGTTGGTGGGAATGCAGAATGATGCACCAGTATGGAGGCTCCGCAAAAAATTAAAAATGTTGCCCTGGCCCATTTGGGTCAGTGGTTAGAGCACTGGCCAGAGTACTGAACAGTCGTGGGTTTAACTCCAGGTCAAGGGCACATACCTCAGTTGCAGGTTCAATACCCAGCCCCAGTGAGGGCACAAGTGGGAGGCAACCAATCAATGTGTCTCTCTCATGATGATGTTTCTTCCCCCACTCCCTGTAAAAAATCAATGGAAAAAATATCCTTGCTGAAGATTAACAAAAAAAAAAACCCCAGTTTGTCAGCAATCAAGTAAAAGTAATGTCCCATGAAAAAAGCAGCTAGTTTAGCTTGCAACTCAAACAACTGTACAAGAACTTTTCCTTAAAACCACAGTATTTCAATATGCAGAAGTGTTTTGTGCACACATCCTATTTCATCAAACAGAATAGTTTAAAAAACATGTATTCAAGGGTTAAGATTAAATGAAATTAATTTTTACTGCTTCAAGATATTAAACAAAATTGTCTTTTTAAAAAAACTGCAAGTGTGTGGCAGTGAAGAATTCAATGAGTAGTAAGTAGTACAGTTTGGTGCCACTACCCTGATTTAATTAAGATGCAGCAGTTTGACCCATCATTACTTTTGAGCCATCAATCCAAATATCAACACAGTGAAAAAAGCAAGTAACTTCTTAGCATTATATGAATAATAGTTTTGATCTTACAGACACCCTGAAAAGGCATTGGAAACCCTTGACCACACTTTAAGAATCACACTTTAGCCCAGCTGGTGTGACTCAGTGGTTGAGCATCAACCTATGAACCAGGAGGTCACAGTTCAATTCCCCATCTGGGCAAATGCCAGGGTTGTGGGCTTGATCCCCAGTGGGGGCATGCAGGAGGATGATTCTTTCTCATCATTGATGTTTCTATCTCTCTCTCTCCCTAAGGTCCTCTCTGAAATCAATAAAAAATATATATTTTTTTTAAAAATCACACTTTAAATTAATACTGTCCTAAAAAGAAATAATTCTCTGAAGACCTTCCTTAAGTTATAATAAGGAACAATAGTAACAGTCCAGACTGAATTCCCAATTGTATAAAGTCATTCTCATCCTCTTCCTAATGTATATCAAACCAGAGATAAAAGGAGGAAAGTGAGATTTCAAATGGGAACTCTTTTGCCTCTGTTCAATAATAAACAGCACAAAATCTATTTCCTGTCGTCTTTCTCCACTCAAAGATCTCGCCTTCTTCCTTGCAATAAAGAAAAGATAAAGCTCCCAAGGTATTACTCCTTGGCTCTAAAAATCTATTCATAACATTTATATTTTTAAAAAGTATTACTTGCTTTATTCTGGAATATTAACAACACAATGGCTAAATCAAACACAGAAAGCACATATTATACTTCAATGTTCAGATCTTATCATTTTCTTCCTTCCATCTCTATTTCTGAATTGAAACAGTATATTACTTTATTTCTTGCTACAGTAAACTCCAAAGTTAAAGATCAATCTTTTAAAAAAAACCACCTCTCAACTAAGGTGCTTTTTCAAATTAAAAGATATGGCCCTGGCCTGTTTGGTCCAGGTGTTTGGGCAGCACCCCATGCACCAAAAGGTCGCAGGATCGATTCCAGGTCAGCGCTCATAACCCAGGATGCTCACTCGAATTCCCAGTGGGGGGCTTGCAGGAGGCAATGAATCGATGTATGTTTCTCTCTCACATTGATGTTTCTCTCTCGCCCTCTTCCTTCCTCTCCCTCTAAAATCAATGAAAAACATATTTTTAAAAAAATGATATGGTTTATAGAAAACTAACGAACAAAATAGAAACCGACTCATAGATACAGAGAACAGACTGACAACTGTAGAGGGAGGGAGCAGGGGTCTGGGTGAAAAGGGTTTAAGTAAAAAAGGATTAAGTAAAAAAACAACACAAAACAAAACAACCGTCATAGACGGATGATGGGGAGAGACAGAAGAGGGTAAAGGGGGGATAAGTGGTGATGTAAAAAGACTTGACTTGGGGTGGTAAACACACAATACAATATACAGATGATGTATTATAGAACTGTACGCCTGAAACCTTTAATTTTATTAACCAATGTCACCCCAATAAATTCAATGTTTAAAATATGGTTTATATGCTTTTCTTCATCCCTGTCTTACTACTTTGTTCTCCTTTAGTCTAGTTTAGCTATAAAACTTTTCATAGGCCTATTTCTCTGCATTACTGTCCTCAGTATGTACTATATAGATTTCTATGCATTTGTCTACCCAACTAGATTACTTTATCTTCAATTTTTTAATATACCTTTTAATGTCTACAATATTTGGCTCACAGAAGGTAAATAAGTGTTTATGAGACTAAAACTATAAATTTTCTTTAAATCTGGTTAAACATCCTATTTTCTACCATATTTTCTTTGCACCCAGATAGATATAATTTTTTTTACATGGATAAGGTATCATTTCTCCTTTGTTCAAAATAGAAATAGCTTGTCTAGAAATTAAGAAAGAGTGAATGTAAGGTATATCAAGACAGTAAGATTATGATAGTCAGGTAGATATCCAGAACATAAAATAACTGGCATCTTTTATGAGAGATTGACTGGTTTCCATTATAAGGCAGCAGTTCTTTTTGCTAATTTTACTCCCTTTGGCTTCCTGTAACAAATATCAATGTTTTAATCTGGTTAATTCCTTAGAAAGATCAATTGTACAACTTTCCTGAGAAGAATAGAGAATTACAAGATAAGAATTGACTCTATACTTGAAGTAACAATCTGAGCAAGCCTTCACATCTTTTGATTGCTTCATTAAAATCCTAGAAACAACAACAAAGTCAAACAAAACTAAGGAAAAAAGGGAAACTTACCACCAAACAAAGGTTCTGGTTCTACCAATATTTCCTGCTTTTGAGGAATTGGGGCACGAACTTCTTCTCTATTAAAAAAAGTGGGAAAATATCAAAATGAAAACAGTTTTTTTGCTACCTGTTCCCTCTGTAACTATTGTGAATGCATTCAAATTAATAAGTAAAATGAATACCAATCTTAGTGAATTTTAGGAACCACAGTGATAAATGATTGTTAGATGGTTTCCATATAGAGATCAATTGGAATAAAGTACATGGCACAGATATCTCAATTTACAAAGGAAGAGAACAAACAAAAATAAAAAGTATTTCCCCTTTCCTCTCAAGTTCTCTACCTTAAATTCTTTCCAAAAAAAGAGAGGGAATTAAAAAAAAAATCGGGCAAAAAATTTAATTGAAAAATACTGGCTTAATAAAAGCACTATTACTACCATATCAAATAAGTAATTAAATTACACTGATATAGTAAAATAAGCTTAAACAAACATGCAGTGAATTTTATGCTAGTTATGAAGATGGCCAACATAGGTATTGCCCTGAATTATTTATTAAGTAGATCCTACTATACACAAAACAGAAAAAGTAATTACTCCTCTTATAAAAGCCTATAAACTCTTCAAAGTTTACCTCTAGAGGGTTTACTAATAATCTATCTCTTCCAGTAAAAAAATACTTTAGATATACTGTTAAAATGGTGTATGTTCCTTTAAATATCAGTTTATTTTATAGTTTTAACCCAAATACTAAATTCTGCTAATTAATTTTGATAGCAAATAGTAAGTTCCAAATTTATTACCTTCCTGCTTACAATAAATGTTAATTTAAGTTAGGCCCTATGTTTTCCATTCAGGTGTGTCTAATAATAATAGCTGAACTGAAGGCCCTGTTTTTTGATATCTGAGAGTTGAAAATCCAAAACATACTTTATGAAATAAGGTTTGTATATTCATTTGTCAACAAGAACTAACATCCTGTAATCAAATAACTACACAAAGAAATATGCAATAAGCCAAATGACTGAAGAATAAAGAATAATTCAAAATTATGTTAATACTTTTTCCTATTAGATTATCATTCACTGCTTACACACAGAATTTCATTGATCTGAAGGAACAATGTGTCTGTAAGAGGAAACTATAATCCTCTTCCATCAAAGAAAAATAGGTCATTATCTTAAGAAAACTAATAATTTAAAAGATATCTTTTACCTAAATAAATCTTTCCATTATTAGCATACCTCACTTTTACATATATATATATAATTATTTCAATCAGTAGTTGTCCCTCTACAGAAAGACTTGATTACTACATACTTGAGGGTATCTGTTCCAAATTGTTAACTACATAACAAGATGGAAGAATGGAATAGAATAAGGTGAACTGTAAAGAGTGAAAATTACAGTTTAGGAATTAGGAGCCACTATCAAATGTTAACCAATTAGCAATACAGTGGGGCCTTGACTTACAAGTGTCCCGACTAACGAGTTTTTCGAGATACGAGCCTTCTCTCGGCCGATTTTTTGCTTTGAGTTGCGAGCTAAAATTCGGGTTACCAGCCAGCTTCAGATACCCCACCGCTAGTTGGCGCATCGAACGTCACAGTGAACGCCACAACATCAGCCCAGCATCACGTGTCTCACTCGTTCACTGTTGATTTGACATACGAGTAATTTGAGTTACGAGCTTAGTCACGGAACGAATTAAACTCATAAGTCAAGGCCCCACTGTACAAATAATCTAAGTCAAATTATAATGGAATTCAGTAGGGAAAAACATTCATTACTCAAAACTATTTTTAAACACAATTAAGGTATTTCCCAAATCTGCTGTAACTGTTACCCAATTTTCTGTAAAATTAATGATGTTTTCATATTGATTTGCACGCTAAGTTGAGAGAGAATGGGATATCACACCTGAACTATATGGCCAAGATTGAGAGAGAAAAGAACTTTATAAAATATTAATAATGATCTCTAGGTTATGAAAAAGGACCAACTAGAAATTAAGCATACACTGACTGAAATAAAGGATATTATGCAGAGTTCCAACAGCAGACTAGAGGATTGCAAGAATCAAGTCAAAGATTTGAAATACGAAGAAGCAAAAAACACCCAACCAGAAAAGCAAAATGAAAAAAGAATCTAAAAATACGAAGATAGTGTAAGGAGCCTCTGGGACAGCTTCGAGCGTACCAACATCCGAATTATAGGGGTGCCAGAAGAAGAGAGAGGGAAAGATATTGAAAACCTATTTGAAGAAATAATGACAGAAAACTTCCCCTACCTGCTGAAAGAAATAGACTTACAAGTCCAGGAAGCACAGAGAACCCCGAACAAAAGGAATCCAAAGAGGACCACACAAAGACACATCATAATTAAAATGCCAAGAGCAAAAGACAAAGAATCTTAAAAGCAGCAAGAGAAAGACAGTCAGTTACCTACAAGGGAGTACCCATACGACTGTCAGCTGATTTCTCAACAGAAACTATGCAGGCCAGAAGAGAGTGGCAAGAAATATTCAAAGTGATGAATGCCAAGAACCTACATCCAAGATTACTTTATCCAGCAAAGCTATCATTCAGAATTGAAGGTCAGAAAAAGAGCTTCACAGATAAGGAAAAGCTAAAGGAGTTGCACCAAACCAGTATTATATGAAATGCTGAAAGGTATCCTTTAAGAAGAGGAAGAAGAAGAAAAAGGTAAAGATACAAATTATAAACAACAAATATGCATCTATCAACAAGTGAATCTAAGAATCAAGTGAATAAATAATATGATGTACAGAATGAACTGGTGATTATAATAGAATCAGGGACATAGAAAGGGAATGGACTGACTATTCTTGGGGGGGAAAGAGGTGTGGGGGATGCGGGAAGAGACTGGACAAAAATCGTGCACCTATGGATGAGGACAGTGGGGGTGGGGGGTGAGGGTGGAGGGCAGGGTGGGAACCGGGTGGAGGGGAGCTATGGGGGGAAAAAAGAGGAACAACTGTAATAATCTGAACAATAAAGATTTAATTAAAAAAAAATAATAATAATGATCTCTAAAGTTCATGCTTCATGTGGAAACGATATTACTCTGGAACCTGGAACTATATCAATAAAAGAAGAAAGATTGTCCTGAATGTTATTTGGCCTCTTAAATCTATGTCTAATTTATTAAAATAAAATCCATGTCTTCTGTCTATCCCTATTTAAGGAGATTCCTCTATTTTTATCTCATCTTATAAACACTGAATTATAAAGGACTATGAGTATTAAAGTCTTAAGGATCTTTTAAATTTTGTGTTTTGTTTTGTTTTTAAATGAAAGGTTTTCCTTTGAATAACATTCATTTCTAATATTTTCCAAAAACTGTTGGAATTTTGCCCAAAAGGTATTCATTTCAAACTCTCATTGGTATCAAATGTAAAGGGCAAAAAATAACAAATCTATCTAACATTTATGACTATTCTCTATATAGTATGGTTCCATATACTGTAGGTGCTTTTAATAACCTAACTAAGGTATAAAAGACTAGAATTATTTTTCAAAATTTTTTCACGGCAGCTCAAAACTTTCCTAGGACAATGTAAGAAAATCTAGAATTGGGAAATCTCAACTTTGTTGGGTTTTACTTCCATATATGCTACTTAAATGCTGTGTGTGTAACTTGGGAAAAAGGCTATGCCTCTGTTTCCTCAACTGTAAAACATGGGTAATAATGCCATCCTACAGGATTCTTTTGAGGATTAAATAATAGATAAGACATAACAGTGCTTTTGAGAATTTAAAATAAGTATAAAAATTTCTATTTGACACTTTTTCAGATGCTCTCAACTATAATTTTTTTTTCAAATACTGAGAATTAACCTGATAAAAATGCAGCTACTCAATATAGGCAGAGGGTTGCTCCTAACAAGAAATAAGAAATTCATACTCTGTGTGTGGTCTAACAGTGGAGACACTTGCTGAACTGGTACTGGGCTCTTCAGCGATTCCACCACCATCCAAAAACATTGTGACTGCCATCTCCAGATTATTGTTGCAGGCTTCAAGCATATGTTTCCCAACACTTTCACTTGCACCTGAAATAGCAGAAAGGTTAAAGGTTAAAAAAAAAAAGACACCTTTTTGTATTCAGTTCTTAGAATACAGAATTCCCCAAAACAGTACATTTTCCCTTTAAGAATGAATAACTTAGCCCAATTGGTGTGGTTCAGTGGTTGAGCCCATGAACCAAGAGTTCCCTGGTTTGATTCCCGGTCAGGGCACATGCTCAGGTTGTAGGCTTGATCCCCAGTAAGGTGTGTGCAGAAGGCAGTCAATCTATGTCTCTCTTTCATAGATGTTTCTATCTCTCTATCCCTCTCCCTTCCTCTCTCTCTAAAAATCAATAAAAACATATTTTAAAAAAACACAAATGTCTTTAAAAAACTATTTAAACTTCTATACTGTTGGCACATTCTCCCTCTCAGGAGCATGCCTGTGCCTTTCCCTTCCCCCTCCTCTTCTCCACTGGTGTGCATTTCCCAAACTCTAAGGGTCGCCACAAGACTTGCAACCAGGGGAGCAAATGGGCAGTGGCAGCTCAACCCAGGCTAACTCCCTGAACCTGCATCCAAGGCCCTTTTCTCTAACTTTCCAGTGAGCCAGAGCAGCCCCACCTAGGCTCTCTCCTGTTGCTTTTTCTATCCTAAGCCCTTTCCTGTTTCACTGTCCCCAGCTTTAATAAACATAATCTCAAAATAATAATTATAAAATAAAATAAACAAATTTCTACACTGTTGCTATAATGTGGCATATACAGAGCTAGAAAAGAAAGTAGCCCTAGCCGGTTTGGCTTGGTGGTTAGAGTGCTGGCCCATGGACTGAAGGGTCTTGGCTTCAATTCCTGGTCAAAGGCATGTACCTTGGTTGCCGGCCCTGGATAAAGTATGTGCTGGAGGCAACCAGTCAATGTGTCTCTCTCACATCGATGTTTCTCTCTATGTCTCCCCCTCCTTTCTTTTTTTTTTTTTTTTAATATATTTTATTGATTTTTTTACAGAGAGGAAGGGAGAGGGATAGAGAGTTAGAAACATCGATGAGAGAGAAACATCGATCAGCTGCCTCCTGCACACCCCCTACTGGGGATGTGCCCGCAACCAAGGTACATGCCCTTGACTGGAATCGAACTTGGGACCCTTGAGTCCGCAGGCCGACGCTCTATCCACTGAGCCAAACCGGTTAGGGCTCCCCCTCCTTTCTACTCTAAAAAATCAATATAGACAAATATCCTCGTGTGAGGATTAACAAAAAAAGTAGCAGCATTAAAAGTTTTCCTTCATAATAAAACAAAAACTAAATATTTACCTGACATTTCTTTAAATGGACTGACTATATATTTGTTAATAAACTGAAAAAGATAAAGAAAAATCAAAGACTACATTCTAGAAAATTGAAAAATTATTAAAGAATACATTTCAGTTAGTATTTCTCTTCTTTTTTGTAAATCCTCACCTGAGGGTAAGTTTTTATTGATGTTAGAGAAAGGGAGAGAGAAACATCAATCAGTTGCCTCCCATATGTACCTTGACCAGAGATCAAACCCACAACTTGGGTTTATGCCCTGACCAGGAATCAAACCCACAAGCTTTTGGTGTAAGTCGCTCCAGCCAACAGTATTTCACTTCTATTAAAAAGGAAGTATTTTGCCCTAGCTGGTTTGGCTCAGTGAATAGAGCATCGGACTGAAGGGTCCCAGGTTCGATTCCAGTCAAGGGCACATGCCTAGTTGTGGGCTCCATCCCCAGTGAGGGGGAGTGCAGGAGGCAGCCGATCAGTGATTCTCTCTCATCATTGATGTTTCTATCTCTCTCTACCTCTCCCTTCCTCTCTGAAATAAAAAAAAATAAAAAAGGAACCACTTTTCATAACAATGGGAGAGTAATGAGATAGAACATTTTTGTCAAAGATATAACTAAGTCAAAACCTGGTAAGAAATGTTAATCTTCATCATTTAAAACTGGTCCTATCACACACTTACACATTTGTAAAGCCAGCATAGTCTTCCAGATGCAATATAAATTAGAAAAATAATTTTACAGTATGTATCAAGAAACATAAAAATACTCATTCTTTTTTTGACCCAGTAATTTGGGTTTCTAGTAAAAAGATGTATTCTCTATTATTTACTCTATATAATACATGAATAAACATATTCAGTGTAACTTCAGTTAAAATGAAAACAACATAAATATCCAATAGAGACTGATTTATAGAATCTATTTGATAAAACATATTGTCTGCCGAAACCGGTTTGGCTCAGTGGATAGAGCGTCGGCCGGCGGACTGAAAGGTCCCAGGTTCGATTCCGGTCAAGGGCATGTACCTTGGATGCAGGCACATCCCCAGTAGGGGGTGCGCAGGAGGCAGCTGATCGATGTTTCTCTCTCATCGATGTTTCTAACTCTCTATATCTCTCCCTTCCTCTCTGTAAAAAATCAATAAAATATATTTAAAAAACAAAACAAAAACATATTGTAGTCATTAAAAAGCATCACAGGGCCCGGTCAGCGCGGCTCAGTGGTTGAGCATTGACCTATGAACCAGGAAGTCACGGTTCAATTCCAGCTTGGGGCATATGCCTGGTTGCGGGCTCAATTCCCAGTGTGGGGTGTGCAAGAGGCAGCCAATCAATGATTCTCTCTCTCTCTCCTTCTCCTGTCCTCTCTGAAATCAATAAAAATATATTTAAAAGGAAAAAAAAAAGCGGCTCAGGCTTTCCATTGGGATGACTTTCCTTCTACCTGAATGCTGTCCCTTAAATCTACTTCAGTGAGGTCTGCTGGTTGTGTGTGTAGGGGTAGGAGAGGGCCTGAAAATGTCTTTACTTTGCTGTCATTCCTGAAAGACAGTTTTACTGAATACATGTTCTATTTTCTTAAGGCTGACAGCTATTTTCTCTCAGTACATTGAAGATAGCATCCCAATGTCCTATGGCTTCTGTTGTTGCTTCTGGGAAATCAGTTGCTAAAGAAAAACATTTGTATAGCAATCTGTTGCTTTTAAGATCTGTCTTTGGTCTTCTGTATTTTCACTCTAATTTGTCAGGGGTAATTTTATTTCTCCTCCTTGGGATTCACTGGACTTCCACGATATATAAGAACTGTTACCTTTTATCAACTCTGAAAAATTCTCAGCCACTTTTATTTAATAACTAGAGGCCCGGTGCACAAAAATTTGTGCACTCGGGGGGTCCCTCAGCCCGGCCTGTGCCCTCTCGCAGTCTGGGACCCCTCAAGGGATGTCCACCTGCTGGCCTCTCCTCGGGGAATCAGGCCGAAGCTGGCAGTCAGACATCCCTCTGGCAGCCCGGGAGCCCTCAGAGGATGTCCGCTTGCCAGCAGGAAGCAGGCCTAAGCTGCAGTCGGACATCCTTAGGGCTGCTGAGGAGGCGGGAGAGGCTCCCGCCACCACAGCTGTGATGGCAACGAGCAGCCTGGCTTGTGGCTGAGCAGAGCTCCACCTGTGGGAGCACACTGACCACCAGGGGGCATCTCCTGCATTGAGCGTCTGCCCCCTGGTGGTTAGTGTGTCATAGTGACCAGTCATTCCCAGTCGTTCTGCTGTTAGGGTCAATTTGCATATTACCCTTTCATTATATAGCAGTGGTTCTCAACCTGTGGGTCGTGACCCCTTTGGGAGTCGAACTACCCTTTCACAGGGGTTGCCTAAGACCATAGGAAAACACATATATAATTACATATTGTTTTTGTGAATAATCACTATTCTTTAATTATGTTCAATTCGTAACAATGAAATTGGGGGTCACCACAACCTGAGAAACTGTATTAAAGGGTCACAGCATTAGGAAGGTTGAGAACCACTGTTATATAGGATAGAGGCCTGGTGCACGGGTGGGGGCCGGCTGGTTTGCCCTGAAGGGTGTCCCGGATCAGGGTGGGGGTCCCGCTAGGGTACCTGGCCAGCTAGGGTGAGGGGTTGAGGGCTGTTTTCAGGCTGGCCACAGCCCCTTCAGGGTGGGATCCCTACTGGGGTTCCTGGCCAGCCTAAGTGAGGGGCTGAGGGCCGTTTTCAGGCTGGCCACGGCTGCGGGCTGGAAACAGGTATTTGGGAATTTAACTTCTATAATTGAAACTTTGTAGCCTTGGTCCCACTCGAAGCCTGGGTTGCCTCTGGCAACCCACGTTCCCAGCCCCACCTTGAGTGGAGGCCAGGCTGGCTGGAAGCAGGTATCTGGGATTTATTTATCTTCTATAATTGAAACTTTGTAGCCTTGAGCAGAGCTCAGGGCTAGCCAGGGCAGGCGGGAAGCTTGGCTTCCTCCATCGCCGGGGGCAACCTAAGCCTCCTGCTCACTCCAGCTCCGTGGCCGCCGCCATCTTTGTGACAGACTGGCAGAGTGAGGGAGTGACTGTTAATTTGCATATTACTCTTTTATTAGATAGGACCAGAGGCCTGGTGCACAAAATTCATACAATGGGGGGGTGTCCCTCAGCCCAGCCTGTGCCCTCTTGCAGTTCAGGAGTCCTTGGGGGATGTCCAACTGATGGCTTAGGCCCATTCCCTCCAGGGAGAGGGCCTAAGCCCTAAGCCACGGGTGGGCAACCCCTGGCACACGTGCCAAACATGGCACGCCAGTAACTTTTGCTGGCACTCGCAACCCTCTCTTATAATCTTCCATTTACAATTTTTTTCTTAATATCAACTTTTTTATTTTTCAGATAAATTCAGTGTAGGTGCATCTTAGATAAATAAATAATTTTACATAACAAGTTATCTTGAGAGCTTGTTTTGGAGGTTCTACCAGGGGAGCGCAGCTACTCGTATACCCTTGACACAAGACCGGTCCTCTCCTCTGGGGGGAAGGTGGGCCTCTTCGACCGAGCGCGCAGCTTTGGGAGGGACGCACATGGATCGGTGAGGGAAGAGGGGGACACCCACCTAGCCAGCCAGATCAGCCAAATCAACCCTGGCGATCAATGGGGTGACAGATGTCGCAGCCAGATCGCCCTCACATCCAATAACAAGTTATCTTAAAGACCAGAGACATGGATTGACGAGAGAGGGTAAGAGCAATTTC